CTTGGGTCCCGCGTGTTTCAGGCTCAGCTCTCTCGCACAAAGATGTCTTGCTACGACCTGTGCCCACCGAAAACCGGCGTCGCCGTCCCCCAGCCCATCGCCGAGAGCTGCAACGAGCTGTGCGCCCGGCAGTGCCCCGACTCGACGGCCTTCATCCAGCCGCCCCCCGTCGTCGTCACCTTCCCCGGCCCCATCCTCAGCTCCTTCCCCCAGCAAGCCGTGGTGGGCTCCTCCGGAGCACCCGCCTTTGGGGGCAACCTGGGGCTGGGAGGCCTCTACGGCGCCGGCGCCACCCTGGGCTCGGGGGGCCTCTGCACCTTTGGCAGACCCTACGCTTCTCCCGCCTGCAGCCCTTGTGCCTTGCCCCGCTACAGCAAGAAGCTGTGGGACACCTGTGGGCCCTGCTAGACCCAGCCCCAGAGCCTTCATATATGTCAGAATTGGAGACGCTTAGAAGAATCTGGTCATTGTAAATGTTGCAGCGTCTAATATTTTCTTAAATTCTTTTTGTTTTGCTGTTTTGAATGTTCCATTTACTCTCCAGTTTCACAGGTCTCTTCCCTTATGTGCTTTTTTGTATGCTTTTTTGTTCTCAGGATTCTTTCGCTCTATTATTATCTTTATTGTGTTTTTTGTGATCCTCATGTAAATTATTGTATTCATTTAGCTGTTGTGTAAGGTTTAGCTTGACTACTCTGAGCAGAAATATTTAGCTTAATTTTTCATTTCTTTTTCTTCCTCTTATCTTTTTTTTTTGTCTTCTATATTATTCAACTTATTTTTCCCAATAAAGCTTTTATGTGTCAAACCTGCAGAGGTTTTTAAACCTATTTTTTATTCTAAACATTGTTGAGGGTTCACCTGATTTCATACCTATTCATAATACAGATGGTGTTGTGCTCCACTGCTGTAGTCCATTTTCTCTGTTTACTTCCAATGATGTGGTATATTTCCTCTTATTATCTATTTTCTACTGTTGATTATTTTGTGCAGTATTTTTCATTCACGGCCAATTAGTAGAGAAAGCAACAGCGTGAAAGTTTAAAAATGGCTCTTTCCATCCTGTACATATTTCCTTTCTCTTAAGTTTTTTATTTAACTTCAGAAATTATCTCCTGCACCTATCTCCCATAAGTTTTTTCCGTGTTTCTTCTGCTTATTTGATATTCTTTAGCATATGAATATCAATAAATTTTTAAAATACATAACAGATTTTCTCTGGTTGATGCTGTTACTGTTATGGTATAAAACTTTCACTTTCTTTATCTTCCATGAAAATATATTCTAAGTTCTCTCCTATGGTCGATTTTGTCACACTTCCTTGGTTTTAAGAGGTACTTTGAGACACTAATATATCTTCAAATCAGTGACATACTCCTGTCTCTCATTTAAAATGCAGAAATTATGATTAATTTTGAAAATATCATTTTTCAGCTCTCTTAATCTCCTGGCTTTAACATCCAGCTTTTCAACTTCACCCTCTCTGGTCGCTTAAATTTCTAGAGAGACACTGGAAAGAACAGGAAGTTTTTATCACAGTCCACCAGGTTCCTGCTGAAGACAGTGGTAGACACTCTGTGAAAGGAGCAGACTACTCTGGATGACACAGAAGGGAAAGTAGGACAGGGACAGAGCTGGCCAGCCCCAGCGGCTATGAACAACCACCTAATTAGGGGAGTGATATGACTGACAGTGTCTCCCTGTTTAGACTGATGCTATTATTCACCATTGGGACATGTAAGTCACATTGTAACAACAAAACAGCATGCATAAATCATTAGTCACTGTTTCTAAGGTGCTTTGATACCCTTTGTTCCTGAGCTGCTTGAGAAAATCTGCAATAAGCACTTTTTTTCCCACGGGAACTCCCCAAAGACATTTTGTAATTTGGAGAGCATTTAAATCACAATGTTATTAAATACAAAGTAATGCTACCAAGTGGAGAGAGGAAACAGAGGCCTTTGATGTGGAGAGGGTTTGTTGTCCTGAGACCGAGTAATGAGGCACAACTTGCTCTGGCTTGCAGACTTTGCAGTAAAATGTAAATCTAGGTAAAAAAGTCACCCCCAAGCTGGGAGGTGTGAATTGCGGTAATTCACTTTCTATGCCTAGAGAGTGTTTTTTGTCTTCCCCTGCAATAAATGCAGGGCAGTTTTTGTTGGGGAAACAGTCGCTTTAGCCAGCTGTTGTTTCCACTTACCTTCCCAGCCACAACTCCTCCCAAACTGCAACAATACATCAGAAAAAAACCCCAAACCAGAAATCTAAACACAATTCCTTTATCAGCTGAAGAGAAAAGGAAAAGATCAGGGTAAAGCTGTATCACAACAAGTAATATTCAGCTTAGGCATTGCAGGAATTAAGACCAGATATTTCAGCTCTGAGGGTCTTCTCAGGGATGACAAAGAGAAGGGTCTGTAAAATGCCTTGGACATGGGTAAAAACTTAAGAGTTGGAATAAAAGATACTGACTGTCCTCTGAAAAAGCACAGAAAAGGGGTAAAATAATCACAAATGTACGTAGCATTTTTTCTAGAAAGTATAGTTTGAAATAACTACATATTTTCACCTGATATATAGCAAATGTGACATACTAACAGAGATTTTGATCAAGAATGTTGAAAGGATTTTTTTTTCATGAAAGAAAAGAAGAGCTACATTAACATTGACCCATGACTTCCAATAGCACAAATCATTATGTAATTAAAGTAATGGCGTGCACCACCTTGTTTCCTGTACATTAAAGCAAATGTGATTGTGTCACACTGAAGCTTCTAGATCACTCACACATTTTCATACATTAACACAACACCAAACATTAGCTGGGTTGAACACCAACTAATGAATGTTTGTGAAATCATTACAACGTACCTTTTTCTCAAGAAGCCCCAGAACATACCTGATAAGAGTTAACACTCAGAACATCTAATAGAAAAACTATCTGCTGCTTTGATTTTTCCTCAAAATTGTACTTGTTTTACTGGATCATGGGCAGGGGTGGGACTTCATACATTTCTCAATAGTGATTTCTTTGACTTCCTAGCTCAAGTCACTGTCAGCAGAACCATGGGCCCCTTTAAAGCTGAATTTCAATTCCCACTTGAACTCTTCTAGTGAAACAAAATAATTTTTATGTAGGATTGAGTTGCAACTCAAAAGACTTCCTCTCAATGGAAAGCTGTTGGGGAATTGTCATGTGTATTGTATGATCTCAGCTGATATTCATGGCCATTGAAATCCATCTTAGATCAATGAGGTATATTTATGTTAGGAACGGAAAAGATGAATTCCTGGGTAGTGCTAGGATAAGCTGCACTCTGTCTCCAATTAACTTACCAGGCAAATTTAAACGTCTGTTAAGGAAAAATGTTAAAGGGCTTTTAAGGAAAAATAAATCAGCCAAAGATGAGTCTTACAAAATCTCTGAGCAGACAAGCTTATGGCAGCTTTGTAAAGGAAGAAGTATCATGTTGAGTCAGCTTGATGCACGTGGTAATTCCAGTGAGGTCACTATAATGATACCAGGAATTACACTAGCCAATTAAGACCTAAGATTAAAGAAATCATGGTGGTGTAACATGGACGTCACATGGTGTGAGAATTTGAATAAAATCATAAACACGATAAACACAAAACTTTCACCACTCAAAGCTGTTAAACAATTCCTGTTTGGCAGCCAAATGCAACAGCCAGCACCAAGTGAGATTCCAACCCCTTAGGAATGCTGAGAAACTCTGTATAAGCTCCAGGCCCTGAGTTCATCCAGACACATCTTTCGGCTTATTCGCCTTGCTGAGCTTAGTGAGTATAATTTTTTGATTTCTTTCTATTTACTTAATCAGAACCTAAATCAGAGTAGAAGATTCCTATAGGTATGCTCAGATTTTGAGAAGCATTAGATACTTTCTGTCTGTAACTACTCTCAGCGAAAGCACGAATAAATGCAGGATTGGGAAGGCTGGGTGTGACTGCAGAAACTATGAGAAAATAATTTGAGTGTTCTTAGACATTTAGAAACTTAAAAATCACAGATGAAAATACTGTTATTTCAGATAATTATTTTCATATTTTATAAAATTTAAGATAAATGTAATAGATGGACATCTTTTTAACTGTGTTCAGCTGCATTCTGAGAGATATTAATAAATTCTCTTATTTCAAGCAAAGCCACATTTAATTTGGAGCTCTATACCCACTTGGGGGAACTCTGTGGTAAATGACACTGAGGTTTCTACACTGTTCTTCAGGGTGTGTATTTGCAGGAAGCGTCAGACACATCCATGCGAGTCCAAAACAAAGACCCATATGTAGGGTCTGGTCATTTGTGCGGTGGTCTTATACAGTCAGAAACTTTGGATCCAGGTGTTCAGCTAGTGTTAGTTACGTTGATCAAGGCTGCACCTGAAACATAAGCTATAGACCAGGATAACACATCATAGTAATTTCTCTCATATCAGAATTTTGAAATATATCTCATAAGACCTTTGCCTTGTTTTTAGTCTTTTCCATCTCTATCTCTAACAAACCCACATCCAACGCCGCAAGATGTCTTGCTACGACCTGTGCCCACCGAAAACCGGCGTCGCCGTCCCCCAGCCCATCGCCGAGAGCTGCAACGAGCTGTGCGCCCGGCAGTGCCACGACTCGACGGCCTTCATCCAGCCGCCCCCCGTCGTCGTCACCTTCCCCGGCCCCATCCTCAGCTCCTTCCCCCAGCAAGCCGTGGTGGGCTCCTCCGGAGCACCCGCCTTTGGGGGCAACCTGGGGCTGGGAGGCCTCTACGGCGCCGGCGCCACCCTGGGCTCGGGGGGCCTCTGCACCTTTGGCAGACCCTACGCTTCTCCCGCCTGCAGCCCTTGTGCCTTGCCCCGCTACAGCAAGAAGCTGTGGGACACCTGTGGGCCCTGCTAGACCCAGCTCAGCCCCAGGCGCTGCCCCCAGCCCAAACGCCAACACCCCCACCCAAGCAGGGCTGAGCTGGCGGGCACGGGGCACTGAGGAGACCTGAGCATCGCCAGCCCCAGCCAACGCCTGGGCAGCCGGCAGTGCCACCCACCCTCAGCCCTTCCCTGCCCTCTTCTCCTGCCCTCCCCTCTCGTCCCAGCTGTCGGATGGGGCAGGAGGTGGACCCGAAAGGCCCTGCGAGGCTGATGGGCCAAGTCCTCGGGATCTGGGATGCCGCGCCAAGGGGGCATCTGGAGCGAGAAGCGATGCCCTGGGGAAGATCCCTCTGCTTCCCCCAACACGTGGCAACCGGCCTCTCTGGGTCCTGCCCACCGTCTCTCTGACAGTCTCTCCTGCTCCTCTGGGCACAATAAAGCTTTCCTGCATTCAAGTCATGTCTCCCTCCCTCCATGTCCCATGTTGGGAAGACCCCGGCAGCCGTGGGAGGGCAAGTAGTGGTCCTCGGATGCCTGGGCAAGGGGAGGGTGGGTGGTGTTGGGAGAGGGAGGATGCAGGCAGCAGGCAGAGGAGAGAGAGCCTTTTGGTGGGCCTTGCAGGAGCTGGGGAAAGGGCAGAAGGCAGGACAGGCGCTGGCAGTGCTCCCTTGCCCGGTCTTCTCAGCCCGGGAGCGGCAGCAGCTCCACCAGGTCCCGCTGCTCTTTTGCTTCTGGGAAATACCTTGAATTGGGTAACCCTGTCTGTTACCTGTATGACTCCAGGGCCTCCCTTGGCTATGGGATTTCAGCCTTTGTCATGTTTAGCAGCGGGAACTGCACCCCATACTCCTCACGCCAGTACAGCCAGTTCCTCCACAGCAGCTGTGGGCCATGCTAAATTTAGGAGGAGCATCCCTTGTTTATATCCTGAAAGTTTTAATCTACTTTTTCTTTGGGTTAAACATCTACATTCTTCCTATCTTGATTCTTGCTTTTTGCGGGTTGAAGATATTTGTCATGGACTAATTTATGAAATGTGGAGATTTTAATCTCTGTCAATGAAGGAAAGGTTTGTGTTGTTTTCCTCTAACTTTCATTCTTATTAAAGTTCTGCTGTATAATACAATCAGATTTCTGCTTCCCTCCACCGCTTTTAAGTGTGACTTAACTCTAAGTGTCACTGTTAACAGTCTTACAGATTGTGAAGTGGAGCTTTGGTATCAGGTTTCCATCCCCATCACTGGCAGACAAAGCAGTTCATAAAACCTGCAGAAATCTGTCATGGTTTAACACCAGCTAGCAGCTAAGCACCATGCAGCCGCTCACTCACTCCCCCCCAGTAGGATGGGGGAGAATATCAGGAAAAGAAGTACAACTCGTAGGTTGAGATAAGAACGGTTTAATAGAACAGAAAAGAAGAAACTAATAATGGTAACACTAATAAAATGACAGCAGTAATAATAAAAGTATTGGAATATACAAATGATGTACAGTGCAATTGCTCACCACCCGCTGATTGACTCCCAGCTAATCCCTGAGTGGCGATTCCACACACCCCCACCCCCTACTCAGTTTATATACTAGATGTGACGTCACATGGTATGGAATACCCCGTTGGCCAGTTTGGGTCAGCTGCCCTGTCTGTGTCCCATCCCAACTTCTTGTGCCCCTCCAGCCTTTTCACTGGCTGGGCATGAGAAGCTGAGAAATCCTTGACTTTAGACTAAACATTACTTAGCAACAACTGAAAACATCAGTGTTATCAACATTCTTCTCATACTGAACTCAAAACATAGGACTGCACCAGGTACTGGGAAGACAATCAACTCTATCCCAGCTGAAACCAGGACAAAATCCTACTCCTACCTTTCATGGGGCTTTCCCCTTGTTTCCTTGGCTACTGTTCTTTTATGGTAAGAAGAGTATTTAGAGCTAAGAAAAAAACCCCACATTTTCTTCATCATTTAATTGAGCTCTTCTGCCAAGGAGAGTAGAGTATGTGAACTCATCTGAGCAAAATGCTCAATTCAACCTTTACATCCAATCATAGCATCTATGAACAATGGCTCAGGAAACCACCCCTTCAAAGGAAAATGTACAAAACAGGTCAGTGAGAACCAGGAATCAATTTCAAATCCCTTGAAATATTTCCTGCTCAGAAAGGAACCTCCTGCTCCTCACTGGAAAATTTTCATTTTCTCAATATAAGGTATTTGCATTTTTTAATTTAATTGTAGAATTAAACTGAAAGCAAATCTGTGCATGGAACATGTTTCAACATAATGGTATGAATACAGAAAACTATTTTCAAGCCATTTTTAGATCACTTTGCACTGATAGAAAACTTCTGTGGCGTATCCATTGAATAAAGTTCTGCAAAAAGAAAAAAAAAAAAAGAAACACTTAAGAACTGCAGGAAGGACTGAAACAAAGTTCATTTTTTGTCATGAAACTTGGACTGCTAAGGGTCTCCAGGCACATCTTCCCTGCACAGGAGTGAATATTGCTCCAAGAGGAGGCTAAAGGACAAATGAAAACCAGAGAGGCTCTTGTGCAACACCAGGGGGGTTAATGTGAAAGAGAAGTATAGCAGCCAAATACAGAAAATCAAGGCAATACAAGGGGAAATGCGTGATGCAGGTATCACGCTCTGGTACCAGTGCCCTGCTCAGGACCCAGGGGACAGCTGAGGTGATGGGGGGATGCAGGGGATACTGAGGCTCAGCCATGCAGCTGGGGCACACTATGGCAGAGCATAGTGGGCTGCTGGGCACACACAGCCTCCTCCTGGCTCCATGCCAGGGCAGCTGATGCATGCTGATGGTCCCCATGGCTCTTGCTCCACATCCTCATGCCATGGTCCTTGCTTCAGGGCTGTTGCTGGTTCTGGGTGCCATCCTGGGGGCTTTAGAAAGCCCCACAGCTCCTGCAGCGGGACCTGCCCCACCTCTGGGCACCAGGGAGGTAATATCCCATGCCAGAGGAGGAGAAGCCAGAGCTGTAGGACCTCCCAAAATTGCCAAAGCCACTGGACCCATGTTGACCCCCACAGCCCAGGGAGCTCCCATAGCCCATATCATCTCCATAACCTTGGAAACAGCCATACCCAAGTGAGCGCCCGTAGCCTCCATAGCCTCTCAAGCCAAAGGGGCTCCCATAGCCCTGGGAGCCCCCATAGCCAGAGGAACCCCCCAAGCCCAGGGAGCTCCC